TGGAGTAATACCTCTGTCCCACCTGGGTCAAGGGGACCTTCTCTATGGCCTTGATGTTTAGTAAATGTCGAATGGCGTCTTCCATGAGCCCTCTTTTTGTTGGGTTTCTCAGGGTTGGACAAGAGACAAAATGGTCTATGGGTGTGGATTTGAACTCCAGGGACAGGCCTTCCCTTATGGTGCGCAGAACCCATGAGTCTGTGGTTGTGTTTTCCCATTGGCGGATGAAAAAAGTGAGTCTGCCACCAATGGGAGGGGTCCCCCCTAAGTCACTTGGTGCGATGGAAGGGATGACCCCCTCTGCCACGAAAGGAAGTCTGGGTCTGATACTGGGACTGGTCCCTATAATTTGTCTTGTCAAATGGACATTCAGTCTTGGGAGCTGAAGGCCTGTATGATTGTCCTGTCTCTGCCGTGGCACCAGTCCGAAAGGACTGATGGCGGCCATAGGGGAGAAAGCGTCTGTTAGCTCTCCTTGTCAAATGAGAGATGACCTTTTGTTTCTGTTTGTTTTCTATGAGGTACGGAGTTAAGTCCTCTCCAAATAGTCTGCCTCCCTTGAAAGGAGCAGTGGCCGCCTGCCACTTGTGTTTGCTTTCGGCCCTCCAATTTTTAAGCCAGAGCAGTCTCCGAGCGACTACGCTGGAAGCCACTGCTCGGGCTGAGTGTTTTGCAGAGTATAAGGAGACATCCGCCATATACTCAGAGGTCACTATAAGTTTGGTCAGGTCCTGGTGTACTCTGACCTCCTCCAGTGGAGGTCTGTCTTGTAGCTGTCTAAGCCAGGTAAGAGAAATTCTGGCGAAGAATGAAGTGGAGGTTGCCGCCTTCGCTGCCCATGCAGATGCCTGGTGAACTTTGCGTAATGCTAGTTCAGATTTCTTATCCTCCGCCTTAAGGGCGTCAGATACATCTGCTGGCAGATTGACTGCTGAGAAAAGTGGAGCTAGGGATTCATCTACTTTGGGCACCTCCAATAAGTCCGACAAGTTTTGAGCCATGTCAACAATTTTGCATTCAGCTGCTCCTTGGGATGGTTGAGCTGCCGGTGATTCCCATTGTCCCTGAATATTCTTCAGGAACAAGGGGGGCCAAGGTATTTGCAGATGCCGAACCACTGGTTCAGAGAACAGGGGATTCGTGTCTTGGCCAGTGGAGGTCTCTGGGGTGGGGACCGGGTCAGAGGTGAGCTTACCCGCTGCACAAGCCCTGCGCAATAAGGAAGGAAAAAGAGAAGTATTGAAAAGCTCTGCCATGGGCTGGGAGTCTTGCGGAGGCTCCTTGCAATCCGACCACCGGTCTGCCTTCTTGTCGTAATCCAAAACGCTGGAAGAATCGGATTCAGGTGAGTGGGATGGTGAGACCATGCCGGTACGATCGAGTGTAGGTCGTGATGAGGTAGTGGGCGCTGATGAGGACCTCGGTATGGGTGACGTTTGATGATGATGACCCGATGAGGCCATGGCTTGAAGAACTGCCTGTGGTATCAATGATTGCAGTTGGTCGGAAAAGGATGGCTCTTGCAGAGGTCGAAGTCCCGCAGCAGTCGGTGTGAATGTTGCTGTGGGTGCCATGGAGGGGCCTGGCAGTTCGAGGTCCTCCCCAAAAAGGGGTGGCCCTCCCTGACCAAAGGTCTGAATTGAGACCTGCTGATGCTCACGCTCCGGTGACCATGCCCTCGATGAAGCAAGTAGTTGTGCTCCTGCCTCAGGAGCTGCAGGTGGAGGAAGCGGAGACATTTGTCCTTGCCCAGCTGACAAGCGTTGGGCTCGAGAGAATTGCTTCTCCAGGGCTCTGTGTGTGCGATCGGTCTGCTTGTCGCTTGCCTTACTTGCCTTCCTGCCGTATTTGGATTTTGCTTTGGCCTTTCCCTTAGGTGCCTCTGGAACCGGATCAGCTTGGCTAGATTGGTTGTCTGTGTCCAAAGGCAGTGGCTCAGTGAGGTCTGCCATGGCGGTCAAGAAAAGTCCCAGATGAGGCTCTGGAACTGGCTCGCTCTGCAAGAGATGTCAGTTGCCCCCCCGTGGAGGGACTGACTGCACGTGGATTAGCGTGAGCTGGCCCATTGGCTAAGCTGGACTCACGCTGGACCCTTCAAGGCGCTCATCACCAAGGCTTAGGACAATCTGTATGCCCAGTCCTGTGGCCGAAGTGGTGATAAAATCACACACGTCTCACAATAGCGGCAATGGTCAGGTCCTGGCAAGCAACCACTAAAAGCAGAGTGGCAGAGGCTAAGGTGAAGGAGTGTTAGGCAAGCAGGGCCTAATAATCGTTTTGCCAGCAAGTTGGCATGGACCCACAAATCTTGTTGTAATTGTAAATCTTATTTCAATTAGAGCAGTCTATCCAAACAGTCCTAGACTTATGACCAGAATTGAGTCCAAAATATATGTATCATTTTTAAAACTGGTATGATGAGATTACACAAAATGGTGCCCACAACTGTGAGGCAATTCTAAAATCTTCCTTGAGGAGACTAATGCCTCGCAAAATGGTGGTCGTACCCAGCCCTGGTCTGGTTTCGATGTATAAGGAAGCTCTCCAGTAAAATCTTATTGTCTTACGGTCCCTTAAGCTAAAAGAGGAGAGGCTGGTTGGGTCGCGCCTAACGTCTGTTAGACGCAACAGTGCTCACAGCGCCTTAGCAGGGCCTCCGTCTCTAAAAAGCCTGGAGAGAGGAAATTTAAGGCAGTTCTCCTTTCCCCTGCAGCGCTTGTAATTTGCTGAATTTGGCCCGTCAGCTGGGCCGAAGGAGACTTCGGCAAAGGCTGAAGGCCGAACGGCCTCAAAATGGCAGCCGCGAGTGGCAGAGCGTCGACGGAGGCCAGCAAACAGTAGAAGGCCGAGCGGCCTCAAAATGGTGGCTGCGAGAGATGGGACGTCAACGGAGGCAATCTCCACGTGTCCCGGCGATGGATTCCCCTGAAGGGACTGGGAAGGAGACTCAGCAGACTGCTGAACTATAGAGAGAGAAGGAATCCACCTCCCCCAGTGACTTGAAAGGGGCTGGGAAGGTGACTCGGTTGGCTGCTGAGCTATAGGGAGAGGAAAACCACCCCCCAGAAATAGGGGAGAAAAATGCTGTTTGTTTCTTTTCCCCCCTTGTTCAAAGGAAATAGGGGACAGAATCTCCTGCAAGGGAAATACTCAGAGGCTGATAGCCTCTAATTCTCCAAATTGAAGAATCCACTAATGGGTATAACAGTTTCTAATAGTCTAACCTGCCTGAAGAATAAGTCTGAAAGTCAAATTATCACGTCCTCATGGGCGAAAGACTAAGATGAAACTGGGAGGTTCCAGTCAAGGAGGGGCGCGACAACTTGACAACTTAGTCTGATTGGGCAGGAGGACTGAAATAACCCATTGGTGGATTCTTCAGTCATCAGAAAGATTTCTTTGATTCTCTTTGTTTCCCTCTAATGGTCATCCAGATTTTTATCATGCAGATGTGGTAAATCTAGACTAGGGTTCCCAACGAGGGGTGCAAGACAATATTCCAGGGGGTGTGAAAACTTGCATTTTAAAAATTATAATGTATATGCATAATTTGTTGCTGTTATTTCAAACTTTTGTAACTTTTGCGAGAATATATTAGAAGCGTTCTAGGGGTACAGGGTATAGAAAAAGGGTTGGGAGCCACTAGCCTAGACATCGTAAAAAGCCATAATTATTTAATAAACCAACATCGCTTGAACTAGAATAGTATATCATAAGGCAGATTTGGGCAACCCATAGTCTGCTTTCTCCTCTCCAGCACCTCCTTTTTAGCCTCTTGAGCCCCTTTAGATTTTGCAAATTCAGGGTGGGGGAGGGGGAATTAGTATATATAAGAGGATTAAAGGGCAAAATGCATGGCTTAAAACATACATTTCATTGCATGGAAAATCCCAACTCACAAAAAGAGGGGTTAAGTTCTTGTACGTTGTGCTTAGGATTTTAACAGAAAAGCAATGCTTTAAATTTCAACCGTAGATAGGAAATTCTTCTCTGCCATTTGAAGGGTAACTAAGCCCATGCCCCCAATAGATGCTGGGTGGCCAAAAAAATCAAAGTGTGATCCCTGAGTACAAAAAAAAAAAAAAATCTACCTACACCTGCCATACTTAATACAGGTAGTCCTCGACTTACAACCACAACGGAGCCCAAAATTTCTGTTGCTAAGGGAGACAGTTGAGTTTTGCTCCATTTTACAATCTTTCTTGTCATAGTTAAGTGAATCCCTGCAGTTGTTAAGAACAGGGTTGTTAAGTGAATCTGGCTTCCCCATTTACTTTGCTTGTCAGAAGGTTGCAAAAAAGGGATTACATAACCCAGGACAGTGCAACCGTCATAAATATGAGTCAGCATCTGAATTTTGACCACACAACCATAGGGATGATGCAACAGTCACAAGTGTGAATAATGATCATAAGTCATTTTTTTTCAGTGTTGTCGTAACTTAAAACAGTCACTAAATGAACTATTGTAAGTCAAGGACTACCTGTACCCAAATTGCATCAAATGTGGAGAAGTATTCTCTATTATCCTGTATGTTCTCTGGAATTTTCTTCATTCCAGTATGTACAACATTTGTACAACTGTGGGACTCATCCTAAGATTCAGCAATTGAACTATGTCTGCTCTCTGTAAATATTATGGGCCTTTTCCCTTCTCCTTTCTCTTCCCCTTCTAATGCATGGGTGTTTACAGTATATTTGTCATTTGACATTTATTTTAATGCCATTGTTGTACTTTATTTTCATTTTGTAATCAGCTTTGAAATGATTACCTGGAAAGTATCACAATAATATATGAAATGAATGAACCATAATCTGCAAGCCACAAAGGCAGTCCATACAACCACTCAGCCCAAACCACATTGCTTCAACCTTCCTAACTTCTGTGAAATCAGCCCCAAGCACTGGACTACAGTCCAGCCTCCCAATTTGTGCTTAGTCTCAGCTTATGTTGTAAAAAACACCAAGCATGCTAAGTGATCTTTATTAATAGCCACTTACTTGGATGGTCACCAGCCTTACTACAGCAGGTTTGATTTCCAAGCATTTATGCTTTGAACTTCAGGTTGAGCAGAATTAAAAATACAAGCGACATTTATCTCTGGCCATGCTTTGCCGGATTCTCACATCTCCTTGTTGAGACATAGCTTTAGAAAGAAAAAGAAGAAATATGCCTAAGAGACAATTCATAGAATGTAACATAAACAGGGCATTAGCCTGTTCATATTTATTTGCGTTAAAGGCAGTTAGTTGTTAAGCTCCTGATTTTTCATTCTAGCTTCTTTCACCAAAAACACCCCACTGCTTAATGCGAGTATTATGACTTCCCATTCAATTGCTACTCCCCCATCTACCCATTAAAATCAAGTTTTGACTTCCTGCCCAGACTGGCTAAAGGGTCTGTCTGTCATTCAAGGTTTAGAAAACATTTGTCCAGAGAAGCAATAAAACCTTCTCAGATTGTTTCTCCACTGCCCTATTAGGAATGAGTCCAGCCACCTAGTAAATAATAATGGTCCCCAAACCAGACAATTTTCTCCTCTTCCTCCCTCCCCATTAATTTTCCCCCTAGCAAGAGAAAAACAAAAAGCAGCAAAAACTGGAAATTTGCATCCAGCACACATCATCAAGCTTGTTATACCATGCAAACACAATCTGACTTCTGAACAAGAGTGTGCAAATTTATTTATAGATGACCATGTTGTTAATGGACTTTCACATGGCCTAGAAATGTGAAATTTGATACAAAAGAAGCTACAGTGAGCTCACCAAACCACGCTAAAAATAAGACCATTTCCCATTTTTGTTGTCCTGGGCTTTTCAAGTCTTCGGTTTAATCCCACTGTTGCCTTTCCGGTGCATTTTAGTTTATTTATGTTGATGCTACAGCTATTTATTTTATCAGAGTGAGCTGTTCAGAAAATAAGTTTTCTGGATGTCCAATATAAATAATGTGAAGAAATGTCTAATTTTGTTAGAGAAAAGAGAAGATGTAAACACTCAGGCAGATTTTACACTTTCAGCCCACCAAAATGCTAAAGATCACAACATGCATAGATTGAAAATCAATTACTGGAAATAGGCAGACATTAAGCTTGACATTTATCTTCTAACAGGACTGGACTCAGCAGAACAAATCACAACAAAATCCCTTGCAGGACTGCAGCTCTTTTATGGCTTTTGGAACATTGCATGCAGAGGGGACAATCTGATTCAACCAACAGAGAGGAACAGATAATGAATGTTTTACTTCCTGGCAGCTAATATTGTTATTTTTTTTTTAAAAAAATAAGTTGATAAATATTCTAAAGTTCCACTCCCTTATAACTACATCAACTATAACACTACCTGGTAGTCCTTGACTTACAACTGTAATTGAGTCTGGAATTACAGTCGTAAGTCATGTTGGTCATTAAGCGGGCCATCACGTGATTGTGCCTGATTTTATGACAATTTTGTGGTAGTTACTAAGTGAACCCATTGTCCACAATGGGTGTTTTTTTTGCAGGAAACCAGAAGTAAACTGATGTTTTTTGGCAAAATAAAGTCATAAATCATGATCACATGACTATGGGACGCTGCAAACAGCTGTAAATGCAGGCCGGTTGCTGAGTGTCCAAAATGCAATCATTTGACCGTGGAGGTAGGGGGAAGCCATTGCAACTTTGACTCCAGGTTGTGAGTAGCCATGGGGAGATCCATCCAATCTTTGAATGGTTGCTAAGTGACCAGTTGTAAATTGAGGATTACCTGTAATTTAGTTTCATCAGTGCTTGAGGGATTGAACCCATTTCCCCTTGTTTTCAAAACTTAAGGGATAGCCTTACAAAGCCCTGGGTGGGAATACTAGAGATATTTCACCAACACATCTTTCTGAGGTAAATTGGACCTCAGAAATGCATCATTTTTGCAGAAAACCAGCTTTGCAACACAGCTTGCAAGGGGGTTTTCTCAGGAACTAGCTACTCTTCAAATCTGAATTCTGTTACCTTGTTGTTTCACAAAATCTACATATCTTCTAAGATCAACTAAGTACATTTTTTTATTCAAATCTTTTATTCAAAGCTTTAGACCCAAGAGAATGTACAGGTGTCCATGGAAGTTGATCCAATTAAATCCACAATAAGGCTAGACATCCAGTCAAAGAGGTCTAATAAAACCAGTATTTAGCAGCACAGCAAATGTAAGTCTATCACCCTGCAGAAAGCATGTCTGGAATCTCCTATTCAGTCCCCACTGTGGGCAGAAACACAAGGGAGAAAGGATCTATGCAACACTGAGAAACTTTAGGCAAATATAATCCTGCCATTGCATCATGTTACGGCACTGTCTTAATGTAGGAAATTCAGTTACATTAAGCATATAAGAAGCAAGTTTGCCCTAATTAGCAGCAATATTACAAATAGCAAATTAAACAAGCACATTGTAGGACTTTGAAATATCTCACAGAGCATGCATTTCCAAGGGTATCCCTATTGCGACAATTCACTGATTTAACGCCAACACTGCTCTCCAGTTTGGAAGCTCTTGCAGTAGTTTCTGAAGCATTGTCCCCTTGTGTTATCTTGTCCCTGTTATGAGCTACAAGGCAACCAATAAGATTTGTTTTCTGAGTGTTCAAAGCAAGGGTGCAAACCTTTGCTCCCTCCAGTAGCTTGCAGATGTTGTCTCTTTGAGGTATTGCTTAATGAGCTGGCAGAGGGAAATTACAAGGTGTATTTAAGTCCCTGGTATTTAATTTTAATTACATGCATACTTCAATTTTTGCACTGCTCACTTCAGACCTCAGCACGTCAATCAACGTGTAGCTTTGGGTCCCACTGAAGGCTGTTCAAGATTAAAGGAGTCAACATGACATTTAAAATTGATAAATGCACGTGGGTGGTTTGCATCAGTGGTGGGATCCAGTCGGTTCACACCACTTCGGCAGAACCGGTAGCTAATCCAGGCCGAGAATGGATTCCGGAAGCGGCATCCACACAGAGAACTGGTTGTTCACATATTTGAATCCCACCACTGGTTTGCATGCGTTTCCCCCAGATTCATTTTTGCAGCTCCCTAGATGCTCCAGTATTGTGCTGTTGAAATCCAGGAGCACAAGTGTCCCTGTTTGGGGTTAGTCTCCTGTTATAACCATACTACTGCCCCGTATGCCACAGCTGTTACAGGGTTAGTTTTTAAAATGCTGCTGTACAAAGTTACATCTAAATGTACTATAATTTTATGACAGGTGTTTTTAAACCATAGGTTTAAATAGATTTGAATAAGGTTCAGAGGGCTGGTTCACACATACCATTAAGCTTTAATGGGAAGGATTCATATATTATATCATATCATACTAAGCCCATCACATTATGGCTTAGTGTAATAAGCCAATTAAATGCTAGAAATAATCTGCAATTCAAAGATATCCTATCAAAGGATAGGATTTTTTTCATGTACTGAGAGGTGGTTTCCCACAAGAGAGATCACCTTTTGCTACTAGTGGTTGCCAGTATTTTCCCAAAAACATTATTATCTGGGTTCACAAAGGAAAATAATCCATGCTAATCAGTTCCTATCAAACAATTGCTATTAATGCCTCCAATGTAGTCTGGACCACCAGCTCAAGAAAGACCATTGTGCAGCACCAGCAGCATTGATGTATTTCAGAAGACCTTAGCCTTATTTGGCTTAACACAAAAAGTGACCTCTGAATGAATGATATCAAATCATTGTTAGTCTGTGATTCTGTGTTACGTAATGCTATCTCCAGATCTTTAAGAAATTTGCACATTTTGGATCCCTTCCCTATCACCAATGGAAGCAGTCTGTTTCCCACTTGATAGAACCTTCTACTAAATCAGTGTTTCCCAAACTTGACAATTTTAAGGGATGTGGACTTCAACTCCCAGAATTCCACAACCAGCAATGCTGGCTGTGGAATTCTGGGAGTTGAAGTCCACATGCCTTAAAATTGTCAAGTTTGGGAAACACTGTACTAAATGAATAACCCATTCTGAATTACAATCTAAAGTAATGTTGATGACTCAGTCTACGCCTGTACAACTTGAGCTGCATAAATCCATTGAAAATGGGGGGCTTCACAATGTCAGGAAATGTATTCCTCTTGGGCTTCATGGCTGCTCCAGAAGTGATTTCTTGCAGAGGTGATCTGCATTTGTAGAGATAGCATGAAGCAGCTACTGAAACAGTTTTAATTATTTTATTAAACTAGTTAGTTTACTTTTAATTATTTTATTAAATCTTTAAAACTATTATGCTTTAATTATTTGAAAGCAGGTGCTTAAATGCACTTTTAAACACGCTAAAATTGACAAGTGGTAAACATATGTGTCTTAGAAGATGCCTTGGAAGCTAGTTACTCTCCTAAAAATCTTGTGAGATGCAACTGTCTTGTCTTTAAGCAGTTGATGGACCAGATTTCACAGAGGTCCAGGGAATTGCTTTGTAATAAATGGCATATAAATTTAATAAATAAAATAATAATTTCAACAGTTAAAGTCGCTGATAAGGTGACAAAACTAAGTCTATGTTCAGTTTGATCTTGTTTTCAAAAATGAAATTGACCATTTCTGACTTCCCTCTTCTAGAATCTTTTAATAAATTGAACTGGATCCTAGTATTTTAATCCTTGTTTCCTGCCCCTGTATGAAAGATTGGTGGAGGTGCCCAATTCTTAAGGGAAAGAAAAGAAAAGCCCTGGAAAAGATTACAACTTCTGATGTGCCCAGGCTGTGAAGCTTACTATTTGCTATAAATGACACACATGATAGCACTGTATTTATCTCTGAAATGTGATAAGGGGGCTCTGACTGCCTGTCCTATGCACAATGGCTGAACGTGCATATAGGCCTTGGTGCAGGATTCTTCATATTGTCTTCTGACAAAAGTTTAGATTTCTATTTGATAGAATTTCATGAGACACTTCATTCAGACACAGCCATTTTTTTTATCACTAGAGGTTTACTTTTTGTTCCAAGGTTCCAGAATTTTTTTTTTCTTAACTAAAAGACTTCACAGCCTGAAAACCGCTCTTTTGTTGATTACAAATGTAGTCTGGACCCTCTCTCTCTTTCGGGTCCCAATGCACTTGTCCCTCACCCTCCAGACTCAATCTATACAAATATCCAGAAGTAAAGTGTTA